AAAAAAAAAAAAAAAAATTAAACATGGAATTACCATATAAGCCAGCAATTCCACTCCTAAGTATACACCCAAAAGATCTAAAAACAGGTGTTGAAACAAATACTTTTATGTGAAGGTTCATAGCAGCATTTGTCACAATAGCCAAAAGGCAAAAACAACCCAAATGCCCATCAATGGATGAATGGATAAACTGCAGTATATCCATATAATGAAATATTACTCAGCCATAAAAAGGAATGAGGGACTGATACATTCTCATATGGATGAACCTTGAAAACGCTATGCTGAGTGGAAGAAGCCAGACATAAAAAACAGGTTAGTGGTTTCCAGGGGCCGAGGGCAAGGGGGGACGGAGACAGGAATTGCTTTATGCATACAGGTTTTCCTTTTGGGGTGATAAAAATGTTCTGGAACTAGATAGACGTGGAGGTTGCGCAACACTGTGAACGTACTACATGCCATCAAACTGTACATTGTAAAATGGTTAATTTTATGTTATGTGAGTTTGAATTTCATCTCCTTAAAAAAGAAAGAAAGAAGAAGTTAAACAAGAAAATTAAGCACTAAATTTGTGACATGTAGACTCAATATTATGGGAGGTTAGAGGAAGGGGTAATTAACTCAGGAAAGACTGCATGGGGTAAGTGTGACTTCAGATAGGCTCTGCTTTTTATTTTTTAACAGAAAATGGCATTAACAGACAATGCTCCACGAACACTGGGTATGCAAGTCTGGCCACGGCATCGGCATCTGCCTGTAAACATGCAGTCAGCGTGGCCATCGGCACCTGAATCACTCCAGGATCCCCCACCCGGGTCCTTGGCTCCTGGGACCAACCCTATGGTCCATTCCTCTGACAGAGGGGCTGTCCCCTCAGTTTCTGAGTGTCAAGCTCAGTGGCTCTTCATCCGGGCACCTTTTTGTCAACCTTCTGGACACTTGTCTTCAGGCCACTCTTGGTATACAGGGAGAGAAACCTCTCAGTTTCTTTCCTTGAAAAGTTGTCACCTTTTTCTTCCTTTGTCTTCCCAGGAAAACAAGACACACCAAACCAATCCAAAGCAAACTAAGATCCTAACTCCAAAGGAGAAAACAAAATTCTACTCCTTCTCCTCAGGTGCTTTCTAGCCTTCCATCCCGCCATCCTGTGCCAGAACCCTCTGCTAAAACAAGCAGGCAGGCCCCTGGTCGGCTCACAGCAAGCAGAAACAGAAAATGCCCCATGATCAGCACACACGGCGCACCGCGACGGGAAGCAAGAACCCTCCTTAAGATGTGCTTTTCTCTCCGTGTGTCACGGGCATGTGCGTTTGCTTCAGGAGTCTGGAAGAATAGGGCTATTCAGATGTTCAAGGAGACCTGTGTGCCACTGTGTAGAAACTGCTATCAACGACTCTAGCCAGGTGCCACCGTGGGCCACCACCGCAATCCATAGGCATTACCAGGCAGTGGAAATGTTTTGTGGGTCACCGAGCAAAGGCAGCTTGAAGCACTCCTTTGTCCCCTGCTCAGTGTTCACTGCCTCACTGGGTGTGCCGTGCTCATCCACACTGCAGACTTTATCTGTGTTACACTAACTGCTTGTGGCAGCCACAGTGAGACCCTCCGGGAGAGGCAGGAGCGTGCCAGACAACTCCCACATCTCCCCCATGAAGACGGGAGCTCCCCGGGGACACCGGCTGTATGACTCCATTTTGATCGTAGGTAAGTGAGCACTTCCGTTTTCCTTCTCTCACTACAGACTTCCGTTTATCTTCCATTTCTAAGTACGCACAGTATTACATAGTTGTAGGCTAGAAAAACAGTAGATATTTTAACATCTCCCCAAAATAACTACAATTTCCTAACCCCCTAATTTGCCACACTACTTTTTATGGAAAAACTGCTCTAGCCAGGCGTCGCTCTGCGAAATGCATCCTTCTGAGATTCCGTGGTTGTGTGAACATCAGAGCGTCACACACACCGGATGGCTCGGCCTGCTACACACCCAGGCTGTACGGTGCGGCCTGTGGCTCTTGGGCTACGCGCCTGCACAGCAGGTCACTGTGCTGAACGCGGGGTGAAAATGTAATACAGTGGCGAGTATCTGTGTGCTGAAAGGTGCAGTACAAATACAGCATTATAACCTTATGGGACCACCATCATATGTGTGGTCTGTCAGTGACAGAAATGCTGCCATGTTATGCATGACTGTATGCATTTATTTCCCATCGCAGGCACTTTGTTAGAACCTCTTCCCTTGCTTGTATCAAAAAGCACCTACATATGTGAATTTTAGCTCAAAATTGTCATTAAAAAAAGAACGTATAATTCTATTTTAACATTATTCCTTTGGATGAGATATGGGTAAAGAACCTTCTAGAATACCTACTGATGTTTAACCTGAGACATGAATAATATTTGGATAAACAGTGTGAACAAAGATGGAGACACAGAAACAAACATGGTACTTTCTGGGCATTTTAACTGGACATCAGAGAAGTTGAAAATATGGGCTCAGGGCCAGGCTGCCCAGACATAAATCTTGCCTCTATCCCAAACTAACTCTGAGACCTGAGAAAGCTATTTATCTTCTCCTTGCCTCAGTTTCCTCATTTCAAAATGAGGAATTTAACAGAACATACATCATAAGGTTTTGAGAGGAATAAATGAGTGAAAATATGAAAAGCGTTGAAATACGGTATACGGTTTGTAAACATTGGCCATTACGACTCCGAGGATGATACAGAACAGAAGCTCACTGGGAGTGGGGGGAAGCCCTTTAGGAGATTACTAGAAAATCACCCGGAGAGACTGGAGCGAGGCAGCTTGGACTAAACTGGTTGCTGTGGAAATAAGCACAGGAAACAATTTGCTCACAGGGGCACACAGAATAAAGAAAGGGAAGAATGTACAGATAATGAGGCATCAACCCTGGAAGACCACGACAGTAACAGCACCGAGCAGGAGACTTGGAAAGAAGGTCTGGACTCTCCGAGAAAATCAGGCTCTTTGGGGAATGTAATAGATTTGTTGAGTAAGGCCCTTGGCAAGATGAGGTAAGAACTCCACTGAGAAGGATCAGAAGCCTAATCTGCTCTTAACACTCAAAGGAAAACAACCAATTCATCTTCCTTTTTTTCTTTTTTTTCTTTTCACCTAAAGTCTTCCAGCATTAGGAAACAATTCATCTTTCTTTACCCCAGACAAGTTCCCCTCCCACCGTGGTCATTATTTCCAATTATATACTAAAAAATTCTCAAATCGCAATTTGGAAAGTATCGTCATTTTCCTTCATTTCACGTGGGGAAAATCCAGGGGTGGATGGATATGTAATTGCTCATCGTCTGCCAGTAAATCCACAGAGAGGTGAACGCAAACGGCCCAGTTCAGCAGCCTGAACCCCAGACTTGCCCGGAAAGGGCCTTGCTCCGTGGCACTGACCTGGTCGTCAGCAATGGCTTTAGCAAACCGAGCACAGTCCAGCTGCAAGTAAATATCCGTCAGTTGGTCCAACAGCTTCTTTGGTTCAAAGCCGTATTTCTCAGGGTTTTCAACTTTCAGGTCACGGCACTTGGGGCCACAGAGTTGCTGAAGATTAAAGTTCAGCATTGCAGCCAATCGGGGTCCAAGTTCCTAGGAAATCACAGGATAATAGGACAATTCACGCTGGTGAGACAAGTGAAAAGGACCACAAACTCCCACTTCAGTGGGGGAACAGGAATTGGCTGGATTACTCTTTAAAGAATCCCTTACATGTGCTGCGCATCAGACGCTGACGGAAGACAACACTGTATTCTCACTTTTCTTTCCTCCCCATTTCTGATCTGGTAATTCTAATACTTGAAGGAATGTTGCAGGCTGATGGAATATGTGTTTATAAATACCAACATAAGGCCGACCTTTTCTTTAAATTTATGCTTTAATTAAAAAAACAAGTATCATTCCAAATTCATTGGAATGGTACAAGAATTATTCAAATTCCACCATCATCTGAGTCACAGTGTTTGAGTCTGCTCCTCTAACCATTGCTTCATGCACTGTTTTTCCATAAATTTCAAAAGTCCCTGACAGTTCAGAGAGCATGTGTCATTCTTATTTATCAGATACCGAGTAGAGAAATGAAAAAGAAGAAGATAAAATTTATGTTTTGATTTAGTTTTAAATCTAGCCAGTGAGCTGATATAAACTTAAATGAAACACCTAGAAGATAATGATAAAATAACATGCAGTAACCCCACAAGATGACACAGCACCCACTATAGTTGGGCATCTGTGGCTTTAAGCAAACCTGAATTAGGAAAATCTGGCTTAGA